ACTTATGAATAGGGATGGGCAATTTCAGTTTCTACTTCTTTCCTGTTTGTCCAATCTTAATCTCAGTACTCTAAATTTCCATATCAGTATCATATACATGCCTGTATTTTAGTGTGAATTTCTCCTAATATCCATGTTTTTGCAGGCAATTTTGCCCAGTATACACATTCCTGAAATTACCTCTAATGGAATGAATTTTTGTCTGTTATTTCCACTAATCTATGTATTATGGTGAGATGTGTTGAGTTTCTACATACATTGTGTTAAGTATAATTGTTTAATTGACACAGAAATGGAAAATGCCTATATGTGTCTTGCTGAGGGTTTGGCATTGGGAAATTCCACTGGGGTATACTGAAGCTAAGAAGAGTTCTCTAAGCACCTAGGTTGTTAAGTAACTGTTGATGTTCTCTGCTCCTTCATGGGGTGTTTAACTTTAGCTCATGTGAGTAAGGTATTTACTTTCACATCTCCATTTTGAAGGCTGCTGCCTTTGGTCTTTCATTATCAGCCACAGTGGGAGAAAGATGTGTAAATGATTCTCTCCTGAAGGGAGGGGGGGGAAGCTCCAGGCTAACCAAGGCTGGAGAGATGCCTCTGATTTAGGTCTGTTGGGAATTATTTCAAATATGTAAGAAGTTGAACCTATGCTTTGGTGAGCATATGTCTTATGGAACTCTTTGGATGTATCACTGATATGTTTTTGTTATGAAGAAAGTTCATATGAAGAGAGTTCTGAATAGTAAAGCTTTTGAATCATATTATGTGTCTGGAAAACTTTTTATTCCAAGAGGAGTCCGTTTTTATGCATCCTATTGCTTCAAGTTGTGCAGCATTAAAATCTGCAGTGCATTGTAGAAGTGATTCCTAAATTTGTATCTATGCATGCAGTTAGCATCTGCAAACTAACTATTTTGGTGATGATGAGTTCCTTCATAACGAAGGGCAGGGTATAAATGAGAAGGGTGGCAGCAATGATGACAGCAACTCCATAGTCCTTTAGGAATACCTCTTCCCCCATGACAATCACCCTCATGTGGCAGACTCCAGATGGTAGCGACTTCAACTCCCATTGTCCCTGACCATTAGCCATGTGTCTGGGGCTGATGGGAGTTGTATTCCAAACCATCTAGAGAGCAACAGATTGGAGAAGACTGAACCATAGGAATGGCAGAAGTTTCCGAGTTCCACAACAGCAGCCAGCGATTCATTATAAGAATCTCTAGGGAACTGAATCCATGTCCCTTTGAAGTCCGTGCAAAGATTCCCATTGATTTCAAGTAAATCTCGCAGAAAGTCCTTGCTGTGTCTGTAAAGATCTTTGAAGCTAACTGTCATTGCTTGCCATCAGTATACAAATGTAGCTATAAGAGATTTGTTTGAGTATCTTTTTAAACTTGTTTGAGAAGGTTATAAGATCAATAAGGAAAGTGTCAGCGCCTATGAGGCAATTTAATTGGATTTTTCTCTGGAAACACTTGAGGGGGCAACCCCCCTCCCCCCTTTCCAACACACACTCTATGATTTAATATAAATGAAGAGCTGATGGAATTCGGGGGGGAAAGAAAAAGGAACAGAACGTTTGTAAGAAGGGTTTGAGGTATGCTATAATTATCCCAGCTGGATTTTAGCAGAGAAGTGGGTTGCTGGCACATATGGAGAAAGGGAGATGAGAATGCATTCTCTGCTCCCAAAATGCTTCGTTTATTGTGACACTGGAGAAACTTTCCTCATTGTGTCGCTAAGCATTGCACAGGGGTAATGATTTTCAAAGGGTGGCCTGAATCCCATAAATCAGGTGTCAGCAAACTTTTTCAGCAGGGGGCCGGTCCACTGTCCCTCAGACCTTGAGGGGGGCAGAATATATTTGGGGGGGGTGAACAAATGTGGTGTAGTGTGGTGGCCAGTGTGGTGTAGTGGTTAAGAGCGGTAGTCTCGTAATCTGGGGAACCGGGTTCGCGTCTCCGCTCCTCCACATGCAGCTGCTGGGTGACCTTGGGCCAGTCACACTTCTCTGAAGTCTCTCAGCCTCACTCACCTCACAGAGTGTTTGTTGTGGGGGAGGAAGGGAAAGGAGAATGTTAGCCGCTTTGAGACTCCTTTGGGTAGTGATAAAGCGGGATATCAAATCCAAACTCTTCTTCTGCTGCTGCTTCCTATGCCCCTGAAATAACCCAGAGATGCATTTTAAGTAAAAGCAAACATTCTACTCATGTAAAAACACCAAGCAGCCCCACAAATAACTCAGAGACACATTTTAAATAAAAGGACACATTCTACTCATGTAAAAACATGCTGATTTCCTAGACCATCCACGGGCCGGATTTAGAAGACGATTGGGCCGGATCTGGCCCCCGGGCCTTAGTTTGCCTACCCATGCCATAAATGAATCCTATGAGGGGATCTGTGGTGGGAAACCACCGAATCACAGGGTTGAGAGAGCCCTCAAAGTTCATTTAATCTTAATCCACTGCCAGTGTGGGAACTCTTCCACAATAGGATCCCTGACAGGTGGCCATCATGCCTCTGGTTATAACAGGTGAGGTATTGCTGAACTACAACTCCCAGCCCATTGACCATGCTTGTTGAGGCTCATGGAAGCTGTTGATTTTTGTTGTTGTCATCCGTGTGTCTCGAGAGAGAAAATGGAGCACACCTCCAGGGTTGAAGTCTGATTAGCATCCAGTACAGTGGTACCTCAGGTTACAGATACTTCAGGTTACAGACTCCGCTAACCCAGAAATAGTACCTTGGGTTAAGAACTTTACCTCAGGGTGAGAACAGAAATCATGCCGTGGCAGCAGCAGGAGGTCCCATTAGCTAAAGTAGTACCTCAGGTTAAGAATAGTTTCAGGTTAAGAACAGACCTCCGGAACGGATTAAGTTCTTAACCAGAGGTACCACTGTACCCTTTTAAAATCTGTTGGAGGGGGTGTATTGGTTTGTTCTTGTTCTTGTTTTTAGTATGTATTTTGTGTGGGGGGGTTTTATCTTGTATTTTTATAATGTGAACCACCTGAGGTCTATAGATGAAGCGGGTATACACATTTAACAACTAATGCTGCATGAATTACTATAACTAGGAAGTGGAAGGGGCAAGCAGAATATAAAATGGAAGATTGGTATAAAGCGGTGTGGGGTATAGCTATTACATGATATTACATGAATTAACATGAATTATTACATGAATTAACATGTGTCGTTAAGGTAAGGCGGGGAATATGCAGGAGGAATGATTTTGAGGAGATATGAAGGGTGTAGAATTTGCACTGTTAAAACGGAAAGGGGTTAAACCATCGCAAGAGGTGTTGAAATTTTGGGAGGTTGGATAGTTACAATGGAATGGTCTGGGTGGCCGGGTGCACATTTTTATTCTTATTTATTTATGATTCTTACTTTGTCCAAAAAAAGAATGTATAAAATGTAAATGTATAAAATATAAATAAAAGAATGAGTAAAAAAAGGGGAGATGACTGTAAAAAAACCCTAATAATGGTGATGATGATGATGATGATGTCAAAGTGACCTACAGTGTGTCTGGAGGTCCTGGGCTGCCCAGATGACAAGAACCCCCTCTTGGCCTTACTGATGTGGTCCAAAGGAAAGCAGAGTCAGATAGAGAGGCTCAGAGGGCTGCATTTATCCCCTGGGCACGAGGTCCTCCCTGCCTCTTCCTGGCTCCACAACATGCAGTCCTTTTTAAATTATAAATACTAGGCCCTGTAGGTTGGGCATCCTCTAAAGAGAGGCGTGAGAAAACTAACCAATTTGTTTCATTCCTCTTTTCTTTTTTCCAGAGAAACAAATTGCCACGGTAAACAGCTGCAGGAAGATAATGTTTGCCCCCTATTTAGATCTGCACGGAGCATTTCACATCCTCACCATGTCGCTTAAGTCAGAAGTGACAAAAGTGATGAGTAAATTACACGGCGTTTTCTCCCACGGCCGCTCCTCAACATGGAGCTAATTGCCTATCCCACTGTCTTGCCTTCTGCTTATATTTTATTTTATTTTATTATTCCACACCCCACCCCACCCCGCACAAAATGAAGCAATTAAGGCCACGGTTAACGCTGTGTGTTTTCATTTCTCTTCATTTATCTAAATTAGATTATGATTCCTGGATACACCTGAAGAGAAAATGTCTTGGCTCCCTGCGAATGCGCTACTGAGCTGGTGGCGGAGGCCGTTTGCAGAGCCCCCATGCAAAGGGAAACAGGAGACCCAGTTGGCAAAAACAACTTTTGGAAATTGTCTCCATGTATTTGGTTTCGCCAGAAGCGGCTTAGTCATGCTGGCCACATGACCCGGAAAAACTATCTGCAGACAAACGTCAGCTCCCTCGGCCAGTAAAGCGAGATCAGTGCCACAACCCCAGAGTCGTTCACGACTGGACTTAACTGTCAGGGGTCCTTTACCTTTTATGCATACACCAAGGCAGTCAACCTTGGCTCCCAAGCTACTGGCCTCATTCCTTCCTACAAAACTCTCTCATTCTCCCATCCATGACTGTAGTGCTGTCTTCCAGGAGCCAGTGTGGTGTATTGGTTAAGAGCGGTAGTCTCGTAATCTGGTGAACCGGGTTCGCGTCCCCGCTCCTCCACATGCAGCTGCTGGGTGACCTTGGGCCAGTCACACTTCTCTGAAGTCTCTCAGCCCCACTCACCTCACAGAGCGTTTGTTGTGGGGAAGGAAGGGGAAGGAAAATGTTAGCCGCTTTGAGACTCCTTCGGGTAGTGATAAAGCAGGATATCAAATCCAAACTCCTCTTCTTCTTCTTCTTCCCCAACCTTGACTCCCCAGATATTTGTTGGACCATATATCATCCATGGCCACTGGTTATGCCTTCTAGAGCTGATGGAAACTGGAGTCCAACCATATATTCAAATCACAATGATTCCACTTTAAACAGGCATGGCTTCCCTCAAAGAATTATGGGAGCTGTAGTTTGTTAAGGATGCTGAGAGTTGCTAGGAGACCCCTATTTCACTCCAAGAGCTACGATTCCCAGAGTGGTTTAACTGGATACTCTGGGAACTGGGAAGGCTATAGATGCTCCCCATCCTTGCTTTGATCTGTACATCATGTTGGAGAGTCACTGGCAGTGTCTGGGGTGGACTGTGGGCAGCAGTGTGAGGAGAGCAGTGAGCAGGGTCGAGGAGCAAACCAGAAGCCAGAATGTGGCAGGGATTAGGAAGACTTTGGCAGTGAAGCTCAACTTGAACAGGAAGTCCTCTCATACTCCTACCTGTCCTGGGGGTGCAAGGGCTGTTTTGGGTGGGAGAAGTCAGACCAGGGTCTGGAGGTTCTCCACTGAGAAGGCTCCTTCCTGAAGTTTGAAGGCTCGCCACACAAGGGGAGCTGCACACAGATCCTGCGACTCCTGACAAGACCAGAGTTCTGAATCCATATCAGGCAAGTGCTTATCTGCATATAATGCCCATCCCAACTGAGCCCGAACTAAGAACGTGGCTCATTTCAGAAGGAGCTCAAAAGCACTGCTGAAATTCATGGTTTGGTCTGACACACACACCCTACAAGCCAGTCACCTGCACATTTGTTCTCACCCTCTGGAGTAATGTCCAAAGCCACCCTCGGTTTCATGCGTCAAGCATCACCCAGTCATCCATGACCCTTAGTTCCCACTGCCTCAAGTAAAAGCAGAAAACAAGCCACAGAAAGATGCCCTGCTTCTCGGCTGCATCAGAAAGGCCTGTCTGTTTCCAGACATGTGGTGGGACAGCTCTCAGCAGCAGAGTGTTTACAGAACACACAGCCAAGTTCAGAAGGTTCACCAATCCCCATGTCTCTGTAATTACCTTGTTTTCTACAGGATGGCCAGATGTTGAATGAAAATGAGTACACATTCCAGCATGTCTATTTCCATCTTGGCATCACCACGGGAGTCAGCAAAACATAGCAGTGTTAGAAAACAGCCTCAGTTAAAAGTCATCGAGTTTGCCGACACCATCAGGAGAAGGCTCTGAGCTCGCCATCATCAGTGGATTCAGCAAATGGGTTGGTGTGACTTTCCTTCTTTCAGTGACTCCATAGTTCCTCATCCACTTTTCTCCTAGGATTTTGGGGTTCCGAATGACTTGGTGCAGTTCTAAAGAAGACCCTCTGTGTCTGGAATTCTCTGCTTACCATTACAGTTGGGATTTCTGGATTTTATGCAAAGCACTGCCCATTGAGAGTTTACTTGCAGTTGTCAGGTCCTTCAGTTTATTTGCATCCCTCCATGCATACTTGCACAGATATTTGTCACATGTACAGTATATGCACATTTATTTATTTTTTTCAAGAAAATACTGCAAATAGGCGGTCTTAGTGTGAGCACATCATCATTCTTTTTGTGCTGTATTGCACAATACAAAGCCATACTTGTGTGCATTAGTAAAGGTAAAGGGACCCCTGACCATTAGGTCCAGTCGTGGCTGACTCTGGGGTTGCAGCGCTCATCTCGCTTTATTGGCCGAGGGAGGCGGCGTACGGCTTCCGGGTAATGTGGCCACCATGACTAAGCCGCTTCTGGCAAACCAGAGGAGCGCACGGAAACGCCATTTACCTTCCCGCCAGAGTGGTACCTATTTATCTACTTGCACTTTGGCGTGCTTTCAAACTGCTAGGTTGGCAGGAGCAGGGACCGAGCAATGGGAGCTCACCCCATCGCGGGGATTTGAACTGCCGATCTTCTGATCGGCAAGTCCTAGGCTCTGTGGTTTAACCCACAGCGCCACCTGCATCCCTGTGCGCATTAATAGCACACCACAAATTTAGCCAGCCTGGTGAAATCATACATTGTTGGGTGCTATAGTCATCGAATCAGTGCTATTTTTCTATTAAAAAAAAGAGGTGCCAGAACTCACCATGAACATCTCCCTTGTTCTCTTATAATGGCAATGGCACCAACCTGACAAATGCCAGAACGGAGTTCCGGCTGGGGGAAAAAGCCCTGCATAGAACCATAGAATTGTAGATTCGGTTCCTGAGGGTTATCTGGTCCAACCCCCTGCAATGCAGGAATCTCAGCTAAAGCATCCATGACAGATGGCCACCCAACCTCTGCTCAAGGAAGTTGAGGCCACCACCTTTTGAGGGAGTCAAACAGCCCTTACTACCAGAAAGTCCACACTGGTGACTAATGCTAAGCTTGCGGTCTACTAAGACCCCTAGATTCTTCTCATATGTACTACTGGCAAGCCAGATGTCCCACATCTTATAAATGTGCAGCTGTTAAGGTCTGTTAAGGTCATTTTGAATCTCAATACTACCTTCTGCAGCATTAGCTACCCCTCCCAGTTTGGTATCATCTGCAAATTTGATGAGCATCTCCTCAATTCCTCTATCCAAATCATTTATGAAGGGGTTAAACAACAGCAGGCCCAGGACAGAACCCTGCAGCATCCTACTTGTCTCCCCCCCCCCCCCCAAGATGATGAGGAACAATTACTGAGCACTCTTTGGGTTTGGTCAGTCAACCAGCTACAAATCCACCTAACAGTTACCTCATCCAGCCCACATTTTACCCCCATCTTCTCCACAAGAATATAATGGGAGTCTTTGTCAAAAGCCTTACTGAAATCAAGATGCACTATGTCCACAGCATTCCCCTGATCCACCAAGCTTGTAATGCTAGAAAAAAGAAATGAGATTTGTCTGGCATGTCCTACTTTTGAGAAACCCATGCTGGCTGTTAGTAATCACAGCATCCTTTTCTAAGTGCTCATAGACTGACTGCTTAATTATCTGTTCTAGGAACTTTCCTGATATTGCTATAAATAAATAAATTAATTAAAATGCAAACCAAACCAGATTTCTTCCCCATCACCACACCCTTGGGGAGTTTGTCAAAGTTTCCCTTCTCCTTGGATTATTTTCAATCGCCATTTCTTTCAACCATTTCTTTGGGGAAATGATTGAGGAAAAACAAGGAGGGTATTTCCAACACAGAACCGAAATAAGATCAACATACACCACCTCTGAGCTCCTTAGAGGAAGGGTGGGATTAGAAATATAAATACAATCATTCTGAAACGTATCTTTGGCCTTGCTATTCCTGCCTCTGCGGGTTAATATCAGCTTCTTAAACCTTGTAATGATTCTTTTTCCCCAGTTAGCCGGGAGAAGGAGAGGTCAGACTTGCACCTGCAAAGCGTAGGCAGAATAACCTATGCAGGTGAAATAAACATGGGGAATAAGAATGCAAACTGGCTCCAGAAATGCATGTCCCCCGGAAACGCCGCTTTGAATGTAAGATGTTTTAAACCTTTATCATTACCAGGGACAACAGAAGCCCTAATACCACTCCATCTCCAGCTTCTCCATTCCTACCCAGCCTCTTTGAGGTTCTTTTCACAGTGATATCCAAAACCCAGAGATACAATCATCGTATGAGCATAATATGAGCAATTTTGAGAGTCATGTACAGAATGAAACACTGTCCAGAGTCTTCTACACAAAAGATGTGTTCTCTCTCTCTCTCTCTCTCTCTCTCTCTCTCTCTGCTAGGAGTGCCCACTGTTCAACAGGTTTCTCTTTTAATTTCCCAAAGAGAGGGCAAGAAGTAGCCCCTGTTCTGATCTTGGTGGCATGGTCATTTGTAAAGGGTGCTGAGCAGTGCTATTCTTCTAGAAAAAGAGGGTGTCGGAACACCTGAGAGATGCCGGAATTGAGTTCCGGTGAGTTCCAGCTGAAAAAAAGCCCTGGTGCTGAGAGTTGTTAGGAGACCCCCTAGCCCCTCAGAGAGCTACAATTCCAGAGTAGTGTATCGTTCGATCCTTCTCAGGAGTGGGGTACCTTTCCCCACCAAGTCTTACGATAGGCTCACCCTTCTCTGCAGTCACTGTCCATGCAGTGGCAGAGCTTCATGCTACGGCATCGGGGGGCGGAGAGCAGGTGGAGGTGGGACAGGCGTGTGTCCTGGGGTGTGGCACATGTCTTGGGGGCATGGCGCGCTGCCTGCGGGGGCATGGCACCCAGCAGGGGCGGGGGGCAGCTGCGATGACACCCCACTGGGATCGCGCTGCCGGGGGCGGTGCGCTCCCCCCCCCACTCCTCTTCCTCCGCCAGTGTGCCCATGCTCACAAAGTCTAAAGGAGCAGTGATAAAACTAAAAAAATCTGAAGGACCTCCTAAATCAGAAGGAAAAGGCAGTATCGCTATCCCCCTGAAGGCTTGCCTGAATAAAAACCTGTCTAGAATAGGACATGTCACCACTATCCATTATGTATGTCTTTATAAGCAATCCTTAGTCCTTATTAGAAATGCAGTGCATTTCACCATAGTGGGGAAAGAGTGTGAGCAAGTAGCCAGCTCAATCTGCTGCCTAAGTGATGTTTTGTTGTTGTTTAGTCGTTTAGTTGTGTCTGACTCTTCATGACCCCATGGACCAGAGCACGCCAGGCACTCCTGTCTTCCACTGCCTCCCGCAGTTTGGTCAAACTCATGCTGGTAGCTTCGAGAACACTGTCCAACCATCTCATCCTCCGTTGTCCCCTTCTCCTTGTGCCCTCCATCTTTCCCAACCTCAGGGTCTTTTCCAGGGAGTCTTCTCTTCTCATGAGGTGGCCAAAGTATTGGAGCCTCAGCTTCACGATCTGTCCTTCCAGTGAACACTCAGGGCTGATTTCCTTCAGAATGGATAGGTCTGATCTTCTTGCAGTCTATGGGACTCTCAAGAGTCTCCTCCAGCACCATAATTCAAAAGCATCAATTCTTCGGCGATCAGCCTTCTTTATGGTCCAGCTCTCACTTCCATACATCACTACTGGGAAAACCATAGCTTTAACTATATGGACCTTTGTTGGCAAGGTGATGTCTATGCTTTATTGATGGGCAACTTCAAGGCTTCTCCTGCTCTTGCTTCTTAGGGTTCTTCATCCTTAACCTCAGTGTGGACCAGGCAGTCCTTTAACTAGAAGGAGGTGCACTGTAATATAGGACACAACGGACACTCTTCTTTGGAATAGGATGGATCCTGCTCTCTCTGTGTGTGTTCAGGACCTAGGGTCTCAGTCCCAGAAGGTAAAAACCCTTTTAGCAAAACACCCACTCAAGAAAGCAGAGTGCAATTTGCTGTGTAGTCTCAACAGGCTAAGGTCAAGCGGGTGAAATCAGCCTAGGTCCAAAATGTTATCCAGAGGCATGGTCAGGCAATAGTCCACTGTAAATAGCACAGAGGGTTTAGACAAGGTACAAGGAGGGTTAATTGGGATTAAGAGAACTGTGTTGTCTCCAGCAAAGGGGAGGCTCAAGAGGGTGACCTTATAGACCATAGTCTAATACCTGATCGGAAGGTCGGCAGTTCAAATCCGTGCAACGGGGTGAGCTCCTGTTGCTCTGTCCCAGCTTCTGCCAACCTAGCAAGTAGATAAATAAACTGCATTGTTCTTATGTTCTTTGTATACTGTGTTAGTTTTATGATGTTAGCTGCCCTGAGCCCAGCTCCGGCCAGGGAGGGCAGGGTACAAATAAAAATTTATTATTATTATTACCCCTGCAGCAGGAAGATAAATGGCGTTTCTGTGCACTCTAGTTTCGGGCACGGTGTTCTGTTGCGGTTTAGTCATGCTGGCCACGTGACCCGGAAAGCTGTCTGTAGACAAACACCAGCTCCCTCAGCCTGAAGCGAAGATGAGCTCCGCACCCCATATTCGCCTTTGACTGGACTTAACCGTCCAGGGGTCCTTCACCTTTTTACCTAATACGTGCTGTTGGTCTTAAGGGGTTCTGGGGCTTGCTTACTCATGTGTGGACCCCTTACCTAAATGTGGACTCAGTGGTGGCCACCAGTCTCCATGGCTTCTATCATAACATTAGAAGTTATGAAAATCCAGTGAAGCTGAATTTGCTTTGACAGGAGGTTGTGATGCCTCTAAGAAAGGATTAGCCAAACTCATAAAGGAGAGGGCTATTGATGGCTACTATCCATTATGTCTATGCTAACCTCCACAGCTGGAGGCAGTAATGCTTCTGAATACCAGTTGATGAGGACCACAAGAGGAGAAAGTGCTCTTCTGCTTAAATCCAGAACAGGATGCTGGACTAGACTGGCCATTGACCTGATCCAGCAAACAGTGTGGTATAGTGGTTAAGAGCAGTAGACTCCTGGTGAACTGGGTTCACATCTCCGCTCCTCCACATGCAGCTGCTGGGTGACCTTGGGCTAGTCACACTTCTCTGAAGTCTCTCAGCCTCACTCACCTCACACAGTGTTTGTTGTGGGGGAGGAAGGGAAAGGAGAATGTTAGCCGCTTTGAGACTCCTTCGAGTAGTGATAAAGCAGGATATCAAATCCAAACTCCTCCTCCTCTTCTTCTTCTTCTTCTTCTTCTTCTTCTTCTTCTTCTTCACCACACAAGCCATGTGACAACTCTGAGTCATGCTATGTCACTCTTTGGCCTGGTCCCAAGCCTTTCGGTGCTGACGTTCTCAAGGACCACAAGGTGGCCCCACCTCCTCCAGAGGTTCTCCAGCACGTCTCCCACCAGAAGAAGATGCTCACCATTTGCCCCAGGGGACTGCCTGCTCCTCAAGGAACTGCAGAGTGCCTTCTTTGTCCTCAGAGGACTCATGGTGTCTGGCAGCAGGTTGTGACATGAGGGGAAGGAGAAACAGAAGCAAGTTGAAGGAGACCCACAATATACCACATTTCGTTAGCAATGTAGGCAAACAAATATTCTATGGAGGTTTGCCCTGCGTCTGGGGTATAGAACAGCAGCTCTTTGCTAATAGCATTATAAAGGATCACGGCAGGGGGAAAGAGCATTAGCAATATAAAGGGGGGGGCACAAAAGAATTATCGGCAGTAAGGTGTGTTTCCTCCCCTCCCTTCCAAGAATAACATAATGAAAAGGGTTCAGACAAAGCCGCTAAGGCGCCATTTCAAGCATATATATTATAAATCAGCAGCGCCCTAAGGCGTCATGTTTATATAGACACTTAAATTTAAAATAAGAACACTCAGTCTTCATTGCAATGAACAGAGATTCAATTACTTTGAGCTTTACAGTCTGCATAATATACAGCATAACTCTACGTTTTTGTCCCCAAGGTATCTCTCACTTGCAAGTCATTTAAATCACCTAGCAAACAAAACAAATTAAAGGATTCCAAAAAAGGAAAAAAAAGTCTAGGAAAATTAGTCCTTTATCTTTGATATGACTTGCAAAAAAGAACAACCTTCCATAAATACTCCGTATCGCATAGCTTTCGACATTATGCCCTCCCTGCTGCCGCCACCCCTCCCTTCCTTCATTGTCTCTCTAGACAAAGGCAGGAAACTTTTTATTGCTAAAGCTGTTTGATGAGTCGATTTTAATACCCTTATTGCTATCTAGGTGGAAGTATGTGTGGAGGTGGGGGAGGGGGCTGCCTGATGAAATCTGAAGTAGAACGCAGCAAACGTTATGGCTGCCATTTGCAAGCGCTTCGGAAGCGTCTTTTTCCGGGTGCTTCTGGGAAATCGCTATTTTTAGGTGGGCTTTGAGGTAAAGGTAAAGGACCCCTGACAGTTAAGTCCAGTCACGAACGACTCAGGGGTTGCGGTGCTCATCTCGTTTTACTGGCCGAGGGAGCCAACGTTTGTCCGCAGACAGTCTTTCTGGGTCGTGTGGCCAGCATGACCAAGTTGCTTGTGGCAAAACCAGAGCAGCGCAAGGAAACACCGTTTACCTTCCCGCCGGAGCGGTACCTATGAGACCACCTCTCCTGGTATGTCCCACAGAGGAACTTACAGTCTTCAAACAAAAACATCCTGAAGGTCCCAGGCCACAGAGAGGTTAGGCTGGCCTCAGGGCTTTTTCGGCTGCGGCTCCAATCTGGTGGAACGCTCTGTCACTAGAGACTAGGACCCTGTGGGAGTTGACATCTTTCCGCAGGGCCTGCAAGACAGAGCTGTTCCACCAGGCCTTTGGTCAGGGTGCAGCCTGACTTCCTCCTTTGGCAACCTGCACAGAACTTTAGCCTAATGGTTGCCATCAATTTGATTTGAATTAAATTTTATAATGAAATGTTTTTAGAATGTTGTACTATTTTATTGTTGTTAGCCGCCCTGAGCCTGGCTTCGGCTGGGGAGGGCGGGATATAAATAAAAATTATTATTATTATTATTATTATTATTATTACCTATTTATCTACTTGCACTTTGACGTGCTTTTGAACTGCTAGGTTGGCAGGAGTTGGAACCAAACAACGGGAGCTCACTCCGTACGCCAACCTTCTGATCGGCAAGCCCTAGGGTCAGTGGTTTAGACCACAGTGCCACCCGCGTCCCTCAGGTGGGCTTAGATCAGGTTAAAGCAGGATGGCACCACTTTCAACAGAATTCTGGGAGCCACATTTTGTTAAGCAAGCTGAGGGTTGCTGGGAGGCCCCTAACCCCCTCACAGTGCTACACGGGGTGCCAACCAGGCCCCAGCACTGTGGGTGCCCAGCACCCCCACCCCATGTTATGGCAGTGAGGTCTGACAACATCATGACATCACGCAGCAACATCATAGCGACAGAGGCGCCAAGTTGGGCCCAACATTGGGGGGGTCGCTTGTGCATGATGTCACACGCACAATGCCTGTCCCCCACCCAGGCCGACTCGGCCCATCATCTCCCCCACAACTGCCTTACAAAATTGCGGGGCGAAGATCCTTGTATCTGCACTTCCCTGGTGGGGCTCGCCAGAATGCCTTCTAGGATGGCGCTCTGGCGATCGCCAATGGGATGTGCGGGGCGAAGGCCCTTTGCCCTGCCACGTCCCTGGCGATCCTCAAAAGGATGAGACAGTGCCAAACATCTTCATCCTGGCGTGTCCTTTTGAGGACTGCCATGGAAATTTGTGGGGGCCCAGCCCCCTTCTTGAAAATATTGTGAGGGGCCTGGCCCCCACAGGGGCCCCCTATAGATGACGCCCCTGGTGCTACAATTGGCAGAGTGGTTTAACAATCAATCCCAGGGAACTCTGGGAATTGTAGTTCTGTGAGGGAAGTGGGAGCCTCCTAGCAACCTTCAGCACCCTTAACACAATGCAGCTCCATAATTCTTTGGGGGAAGCCATGACTAGTTAAAACTGGCATTGTAGTGTTTTAAATTTGGGGTGTGGATGCTGCCCAGGCCTCACTTACCAGACCAGTTAGAGCCAATGTTTTATTTTATTTTTATTATATTTTGTATACCACTCTATACCCACAGGTCTCAGGGCGGTTCACAACATAAAATCACGATATAAAAATGCAGAATACATACCGTATTTTTTGCTCTATAAGACTCACTTTTTCCCTCCTAAAAAGTAAGGGGAAATGTGTGTGCGTCTTATGGAGCGAATGCAGGCTGCACAGCTATCCCAGAAGCCAGAACAGCAAGAGGAATTGCTGCTTTCACTGCGCAGCGATCCCTCTTGCTGTTCTGGCTTCTGAGATTCAGAATATTTTCTTTCATATTTTCCTCCTCCAAAAACTAGGTGCGTCTTGTGGTCTGGTGTGTCTTATAGAGCGAAAAATACGATAATAAATATAAAAACCAGGACAACCTAATAATTCCACCCCAGTTCTAATGATGTGCCCCAATTCATTCGTGGCTTCTGGGAAATGGAGTCCACCATCGAGAGGGCCACAGGCTCCTCTCCCTGTTCGAACGAGCTGTCTTCATGCTCTCCCTGAGGGTCACAACAAGTTCTTTCTGCAGATGTGGAATATTCTCTGCCTCGGCCGTCTCATCCCGCACCCCCCCTTGCCAACGAAAACCTCCATTCCTCCTCCTTGATCGTATCACAGGAGCTCTTGTGTCATGACTTGCAAATGTATTTTTGAAAGCCTGTTCCTGGGCCGCAAGAAGGGGAGAAACAGCTGCACGTTTGTGTAGGGTTGTTGTTTTTAAGTTATCTAAAGATTTGCAAACAAGAAGGGCATTTAAAAGATGCACGCCCCGTGCCTTGCAAAAGGTTGATTGGCTCAAAAGTCACCATCCTTCTCAACTCATCAAGGGAAATATGACCTCTCTGCCCTGGCTTTTGATGCTCAAAGTGTGTGTTTTTTAGGTTCCAACTTGTTTTTGTAATTATAAGTTGTTTAAAACTGTTTTTAATATTGTGCTGTAATGTTGTGTTTTAATGTGGAAACCTGCTCTGGGACTTTAGGGTTAATGGTGAATAATAATAATAATAATAATAATAATAATAATAATAATAATAATAATAATTCTGTCTTTCCTCTAACAGCATGCTGAATAGGTTGTCTGTTATGAAAGGAAAGGGGGCAAGAGCAAAACCAGGGATACAAAGTCTTTTTCAATCCAAGGGCCACATTCCCTTCTCAGGAGCTTTCCGAGGGCCACACGCCAGTGGGGGTGGGGCCAGAGGCAAAAGTGGGTGGAGCCATTTCTACACACGTCATTCTCTGTCCTACACCCAGACAAGCAAGAGGTATTACCAGGGTTCAAGGGCACATTCCAGCCAGGTAAGAGCACTCAGGTGGCACAGCAAGGGCAATGAGCGGATGTGTGGCTGGGGAGAATCCTGAGGGCCAAAGAGAGAGACCCACAGGCCACATTTGGCCCCTGGACCTGAAGTTCAGCACCCCTGCCCTAGTCTACAAAAACTGATTTGTTCTTCAGTTATCTAAATGTTCGATTTTAGCTCATTAACCTCTCATTCTTGTGGCCCACGTAATAAAAACAAACCACACCTCCTTGTCATTTAATTCCCAAACATTATTAAATATTTAGGTGATATATCCTGCATTATTATTTTTAAAAATAAAAAACTTGGTTTTTCTTTCTAATGAATTTTTTCTGCTGGTCAGGTGAGACTCGGATGTCTTTTGAAAGAAAGCAGCTCGGAGAGTGCAATGATAAAATGTTTAATAAAATTTACAACATTTTGTTCAGATAAAAGTTAGAAGAGAGCAGATTTATGAGGGATGTTTGGCTCAGAGCAACAATAAATGTCAGCTCAATAAAGGGTTCTTTTTCTTAACGCAGACCAAAAAAAAGAAGATCCCGACGCACAAAGTACTGCAATAAAGCATTGAGGGAGAAGCACCAGCATACTAAAAATAAAAATAAAAATCAAGTTAATGCAACAAGGGGTGTATTCGAAGAAGAACACCAGCGCAATGGAAATGGGCATTGCAAAGGGACCTTTCTGGAAGGCATGGTGCTTAATTCAGTGTTTTGTAGTCACAGGGCATCAGCCACCATTGCGTTTTATGCTGTCACCCGGACCAAAAATATCTGCCACCTGAGATGGCCACCCCATTCTGTCTAATGGTAGGGCTGGCCCTGGGGGAATAGTCACATTCCCCCACCCCTGGAGAAAACAATACTTAGGGCTGGGTAATTTGATTGCGGAAAAGTTAAGAGAATGTGAGTTCCTTTGGCAAAAGAAGATCAGAGTCAATAAGTATGAAATGACTTTAAAAAAAAAAATAGATTTCAGCACAGCAAGAGATGTCTCATTGGATTTCTGGGCTGAAATTATTTCATTAATCTTCAAAATTTTATACACCAGACACAGAGGCCAACTGCTCCAGAGGTCGTCAGTCTGATAATTGTTGATTTATGAACACAGTCTTTGATGAACAGGGTGTGCGTGTGTGTGGTTTGGTGTGTGTGTTTTTTTCCTGGGCAAATAAGATTTACTGGATGTATCCAGGCCAGAACATTAATAAAGATCAGATTAGATGGTTCTGCTTTTTCAACTAGATTACAATCTGCCACCACACAGAACATCCCCATAGATAGAGTCTATCTATTTTGTAGCCTGCTATCCTAGACATCCAATGGATTATATGTCATAAAGAACAGTCCGCAATGCCATTAAATAAATGAGTAGAGATTGGGCAATAGAGGTGACCTCTGATCCGTCCTCTTTCAGTGGGGAAATGCTATAGTATGGCAAGAAGGTAAGGCTTGTAAAGCAGGGAACTTTGCCACCAACCCCCCAAAAAGCAGGCGAAATTAATGAAAGCTGGCAATCATGCTTTAGAAGGAACAAACTCATTTAAAAACTTTAGGGAAACCTCACTTCTAAGGTTTCTTAAGGTTTCAGGGCCCTTGCAGAAAAGAGACGAGGGGCATCAACGGAGCTGTTCTGAGGTAATCAGCTAGTCGCTCACAATGGTGGCTGCTCCCTGCCTCAACTCTCCCACTGGGCATGTGCAGACTTCATAAAGGAATATGCAGCAGTGTCTTGCAAGAGAGTGTAGCTGGGGGGGCAGAGGGACTGTGGCCCTGGGTGCACATTTTTGAGGGGACACAATCAGGTGCCCCAATGGCAGGCATGGAGCCCTGGCAGCTGAGGCACGGAGGCAGGTGGGTTGGTCTAGTGGGTGGGTGGATCAAGGCAGCGGGCGAGGAGCTTGTTGGAGGTGGGTTCTGTTCACCATCCACACAGGTTCCCCACCCATACCCCCACCCCAGTTGCCCGGTCTACCTGGAGGGCAAAACACTAAGCCTGCCCCGGGCACCAGCAACCCATGCTACACCACTGGCTTACACAAGCAAATCTGGATGAGCGCTTGGTGCATACCCTCTAAGTGTCCCTATTTTCCAGGGACAGTCCCAAAATTACACAAGCCTTCTGATTTGATTTGGAATGTCCCTGTTTTCTCCACGAGTGAAGTAAAGCTTGGGGAAGATGATGAGCCAGCGCTTGTCCTGAGAGGTGGCGGTGGCAGTGGTGGCTGCAAGGGAGCATGGCTGCTGCTGCTGGCCTCCTCCCTTGGGCAGCTCGTAGGGGCTGCTGGAGAGCGGGTGAGCAGGAGGGGAGGCTGCCACGGCCAAGGCCCAGCCCCACATGACATGCCAGCTCTGAGGGGCAGACAGAGGGATTGCTTTGTGCATCCGCATCTATTCTTGCTCCTTTCTAAAATTTATTTATTGGTGTGTGTTTTGTAAATCTATCAAAGAAAATAAAATAAAACCGGGAATTAGGGGTTTTCTCAGGACAGTGGAGGGTGTGTGTGCTGTGTCCCATTATTGCCGTGGTGGCGGCACTTGCCCGGCGGGAAATGCCCGGGGACAAAAAATGGGGGTCAAGGAAGGTCAGTTGTGGGGGAGTGAGAAATGTCCCTATTTTCATCTGAGGAATGTTGGAGGGTATGTTGATGTAGAGGTCACCCAGAGGAGCTCTCCAAAGCCCCTTCTGTTCTCATGTTTTAAAGTCCTTTGTCTATAAATCAGATTTGGACCAGACAGTTCTTCAAGCAGAAGATGGTTTCAGGGGACTGTCATCTTAACAGCGCTGCAAATAGTGGAATGTCCTCTACAGAGTAGGTCAGAAACCAGAAAACGGGGACAGTTTTATATCTGGCTTGGTAAAAGAATGAATGGGGAGATTGGAATATATATAAATCCGAACGCCATGCTGTAGCATGAATAATGTGAGCACTCTTTGACAGTGTATAGCAGTAGAGTGTCAGTTCCCTGGTGCTAAGAGGTAGTACTTCAAAAGTCCTTCAGTCGGGCAGACTTTAGAAAGAGAAACAGTCTTTGCTGGCAGATGGATTTTGAGGGTCGTGGCTCTCTGACACTGTAGGCGAGGGAAGACAGATAGACACTTCACATTGCAGGGGGAGGAAGTGCCGGTAGGATAGCTGCCAAGGCTCTTCTCTACCCAGAGTGCCTGGTTTGGGTAAAATGTCTAAGTAAGGACTGAGAAGAGGAGGGAGGAAGCGCCAAAATAAAAAGCCGTGCGAAAACAGGAAAGGAACGCTCCCTCTTAGCTTCTAAAATAAGATCCTACCACAATAAGTTCATTGTAGCTCCATGGCTGCATTGTTGCTCCAAAAAGCAAAACAACAACGATGAACTGCAGGGCTGCAAGATGGTTCTAAAGTGATGAGTAGGGTTGCCAGGACAGGAGCATCCCAGACCCTGAGATTTCAGGGCCCAAACCTGAGACCCAGGAGCGCCCCCTGGTGATATCATAGAGTAGGCCCTGGAGATGGAGGTTAATTGGGAGAGGGGGACTGAGGAGGGCAGACAGCCCCCCTCCAAATATCTGTGCTATATTTTGCAACCGTCTCTTGCTGGGCTGAAGCTTGCAAGCTGCATGCACAATTTTCTTAATTTATTATTATTATTATTATTATTATTATTATTATTAGCATTATTATTAGGACTCTCACCCACCTGGAATTCGAGCCCTCTACCTGCCACCTGGAGAGTGCAGGCAGACCTGGAGGATCGTCAACCCTAGTGACAAGAACAAACAAGCTCTCTAGCCTGAGACAAAGGCCCAGTTCAGCCGTACGAAGGTATCTTGGCTTATTGAGAGATGCACGAGCCTCATGCCTCCATGCTTATGTCATCGTATTGCTACTTTATTTATTACCATTAAGGTCCCAGGGTGGGTTGCAGCAATACAGACATACAGTTTAAAATTGGACGGGACAATTCAAAACTAATCCATGCAAAATAAGAAACCAGCATGGTTTGAATCAGAAAATAGAGGGAAATTTAAAAACCTGGTGGAGGGGTCCCAAACAATAGCCGATCAGCAGCAGCGTCACTGCTGCAGACAGGAGAGGAAAAGCAGCTGGGAAGTTGAGATTGGGTGGATCCAAACTGGTGATCTTGCTGGTGTGTCTATACAGTGCTAAATGGCATTATCAGAATTCAAGGACATAGCTCAGATAAGCAAAAACATTTGGGGTGCAAAGAAAAGCCAGTGAGGGGTTGGGTTTTGGGAGAGAAGGGGTGAACTGGGGAGGGTTTTGAGGGTCAGACAGAGAGGTTTGCTGGGCCAGATCCTGCTCTTGGGCCTGCAGTTCCCCACCCCTGTAAGAAGAGCTTGATCTGACCCAAATCATATCTAGTCCAGCATCCCATTCTCAGTCAGATGCCTCTGCTAAGCCCACAAGCAGGACACATCGCAGCCGATGCCATTTCTCATATATACAAGTCAGCGGGCCATATTTTCCCTGAAACAATGGCATCACATACAGCTGGGATAGCTCAGTCAGTAGACCATGAGCATCTTAATCTCAGGGTTGTGGGTTCGAGCCCCACATTGGGCAAAAATCCCTGCATGGAAAGGGGTTGAACGAGATGACCTTCCTGGTCCCTTATGATCACGTCACTGCTGTTGGGACAGCTGAGCCATGTTCAGTCTTAGATGGAAGGGATTAAAGGTGTGAGGGGGAGTTGCTATTCTCCCAATTGCTTCTCAGAGCAATCCTGTTACGAAAATTGCAACCTGGAAAACATTGGTACAAATTGGTACACACTTTAAAAGGAAATAATGTTCAGTATCTCTGCATCCTTTCAGCCTGGCCCAGGTAGCCAGCTGGGATAGTTTATTTATTTGCTTGCAATCTCCACACACGAGTCAGTAATTTGCATGTTTATCTGAACCTACGAAATCCTCCATGCTCCTGCTTAATGAGTTCACATCAGGATATCTGCTGTCAAGCCTAAACTCTTGAGCACTTGAGCATTTGTTTTTTTAAAAAGAGCTCTCTCATGATCCTTTAATCCTGTTGGCTTTTTTTCATATTATAAAACACTTAGTGCTCATTGTGCCTTATTTGCTGTACTGACCATCACTAGACTTTCTTGCTTTGAAATTTATTTATTCATTCATTCATTCATTTATAAAAAGTCCACTTTCATCAATCCTGTCCTGTGGTTCAGTGCCACAGAAGATTTCCTTAACACCATCTAGGGATATATGATGTATTCTCTGTGAAACAAACTTTTTAGGGACTTAAGGTGCTGGAGGATAATTTCCCGTGAGGTGCCATGACCCGAGAGTCCAGCAGTGATCAAGACTCAGAATCAGAGGGTGCAAGGTCACCAGATAAGGAGATGGACCAGGTTCTGGGCTCTACTGTTGGAGATCAGGAGATGATGATGATGATGATGATGATGATACAGTGGAACCTCTACTTACCACCATAATCCATTCTGGCGGCCCGTCCTTTGGGCGAAATGGATCGTTGGTAGAAGCGCTGTTGTGCACATGTGCAGACAGTGGCAGCCACTTCTGCACATGCACAAATCACAGCAAACCCAGTATTTACTTCCGCGACTAGGATCGGGCCCAAGTAGAGGCGGTCGTAATTAGAGGTTCTACTGTAATAATAAGAATTATAATTTATTGTTTATACCCCGCCCATCTGGCTGGGTTGCCCAGCCACTCTGGGCAGCTCCCCACAGAATATTAAAAACATGATACAACATCAAACATTAAAAACTGCCTTCAGATGCCTCCCAAAAGTCAGATAGTTGCTATTTTATGCTTGTCTGTGAACGTAATAAGTTATATATAGATAGATTAATTTCAATTGATCAGCCTTTTGCCTGATCCTTTGAAGCAGAGGTGGGCAGGGGTTGAACCTGGGTCCTTCTGCATGCCAAGCAGGTGTCCACTTCCCCCATCCAGATACGAAGCACTGCTTTGTAGGTGCCTATGGAACTCGTCTGGATCAAAACTCAGCTCTTCATTTGGACTGACATAAGGACATAGGAATATAGGGGTAGGTGAATCTGTCATTTTCAGTTCCTCTCTGTTTTTCCATTTCCCCCCACTCCAGGGTCTCAAGTGCATTTCTGCATCAGCTTGCAACTTTTTAAAACTAAAAGCTGTCATGAAACCCCACTAGCCTTTTGTTGTGAATTTCTCCTAATATACATACCCTTGTAAGCAACTGCCTAATATGCACATTTTTTTCAAAACCGCATTTCCCCTAATATTTATTTTCCCCCTAATGTAAGGAATTTTATGTTATTCACACTAATATATGCATCATTCTGGACCATTTACCCCAATAAATGTAGTTTTGTATGCATTAGTTGACTGGAGAACAGCAATGCAAAACTCTGAGAAGTGCAAATTTTAAAGGAAGGCTGCGTTTTGGTTCTTGTATCGTTTCAGAAAGTGCACATGAGAGAGATTGACCTGTAAATGTGATCTGAATTGAATTGCTCCGTCATCCCTAATTGAATCTGTCCATCTTGCTTAACAACAACAACAACAAAATAGGAAGTTGCCCTATAGAGGCTCAGGCTTATCGGACCATGTGGCCACCAAGACCACATAACACTGGTCCTGAAAGACCTACATTGGCTCCCAGTATGTTTCCGAGCACAATTCTAAGTGTTGGTGCTGACCTTTAAAGCCCTAAATGGCCTCGGCCCAGTATACCTGAAGGAGTGGCTCCACCCCCATCGTTCAGCCTGGACATTGAGGTCCAGCGCCAAGGGCCTTCAGGCGGTTACCTCACTCTGAGAAGTGAGGTTACAAGGAACCAGGCAGAGGGCCTTCTTGGTAGTGGCACCCTCCCTGTGGAACACCCTCCCATCAGATGTCAAGGAAATAAACAATCTGACTTTTAGAAGACATCTGAAGGCAGCCCTGTTTAGGGAAGTTTTTAATGTTTGATGTTTTATCATGTTTTTAATATTCTGTTGGAAGCTGCCCAGAGTGGCTGGGGAAACCCAGCCAGATGGGCGGGGTATAAATAATAGTAAATTGTTGTTGTTGTTTACTTCTGTACTGCCTGCACTGACTGTCAGGGGCTCTCCGGTCCTTCAAACGCAGTGAGTTTCCCTCAGCCCTACCTGGAAATGCCAGAGATTGAACCTGAGACCTTCTGCGTTCAGCGCTGATGCTCTACCCATGAGCTCCATCCCTTCCCCAGCCTCATCCATCTCTGACAAAGCCTGTCCCTTGAATCAAAGCCATCACCTCCTCGCTTCCACTGGCCTAGTTTGCAAATCAGGGCACTGTGCAGAGTTCAACAGGAAAGCCGGCCAGCGCCCTCGAGCTGTTTCACCGCAACGTACGCCCTGTGCTTTCCATCTGTTCCTCGGCGCTGAAAGAGCCTGACATTTTAGGAGAAGATTTATAAAGAGAAACAAGGAAATTAACCTCCATGGAGCAGCCCTGCCTTTATGATTAAAAAGAAACCTCAGGCGATACCGTCAGCTGCCGTGCACGGCTATAGGTAGCGCAGGAAGAGGAAATAAAGTGAAGGGAACAGGCGCAGGCAGCAGCCACAGCTGTGTGAGTAGGTGTGCGGGGAACAGCGAGTTCTGCAGCTTAATCATCTCTGGAAGAAAAGAAAAACCACAGGTCAGAACATGTCTGGCTAAGATGAAGGAGAGGCGAAAACAAGAACTACAGAGACCGGGCTGTCCACTGTGTCACGGGCTCCCTTTTCCTCTACCACATATTTTCCCTCCCAGCATATTCTTGGAAGCAAACTTCAGCCAGAAACTGTATTGCCTGTGCAACCCTGACAGCACCTAGGCGACAATTATTCACACAATCAATGTTCTTGTTCAAAAACAATTTTTCACCATTTGTCTTTTTTTTTAAAAAAAAAAATGATATTTATTAAGAATTTTAAAATTACAAGAAAAACAAAAAGAAAAAAAGAGAAAAAACAAAAGAAAAACAAACCACAATCAAGCAATACAAATTGATAAAAATCAAAATCAAAAAGTAACAACAAAACACGTAACACAAGACAATCAAAAAGCAAAAATAAACCACAAAAATTTAAAAACAAATCCAATATTCCAAAATCCTTAACTGTCATTGCCTTATTTCATCGACCTCCTCACTCCTCCCTTTTTTGTATCCTAGTTGTTAATTATCACAGCAAATCCTTTCCATTTTTCATAATATTCTGTCATTAAATTACCTTAATCTATTTTAACCTTATCTTACTATAAAAGACCCTAAAACTTAAAACTTAGATCTTATTTATACCAGTTCCTCATAACCATAACATATTCTTACATAATTCTTTTAACATTTTTGCTAAAGCCAAATGATTTCGTTCCAACATTTTTCTAACATTCATCAATTTTATAAAACAATCCTAATAAAATTTATTTTTTTAAAAAAAAAAACTTGCTTCCAATCTTCATCCAGCGTCTCTTCCTCCTGGTCCCGGGTTTTGTCAGTCCTTTCTATCCCATCAATCTAGCTCATTAACCTGGTAATCTTATGTCCGAGGCCCTTAAGTCTCTTCCATGTCCCTTCCGCAGCTCTTCTTCATATTTATACCTGTACTTTACTTTGTCTCCTGCTCCTTTCACTCGTGGAAACTCCAACTTGACAGTGTTTTTGACCCTTCTCGACAAATCAGCCCCTTTTCCATAGTCCACACTAAACTCCATGTGGTATTTAAAAACATGTTTCAAAGTCCCTCCAGAATTAAGAGCCCCCACAGCCCCAAACATCTCACGGCCCATTGCCAGACTTGGAAAGTCAAAACATCCCTGCATAGGGGGGTCTATCCAACCCCCCATTTCCAAACCAAACAAAACTCTATCTCTCCAAGCCTGGCTTTTTCCAAGTTCATTTGTCAAATCCAACAACTCATGTTCCTGCTGGGCCACAGCTCCCTCCATCTCTGGCACCCAAGGTCCAGCAACATCCTCTTCCCTCATCTGATCTGTCAGAGCACACTCCTGATTTGATTCCTGGGTGGGTTCTATATAGTTACCCACTACCTGTCCAAAATTTCTGATCGCAACAGTCATCAAGTCCGTCTTCTCATGTAACTGTTCCAATAGGGCACTTGTTTTGCAGAAAGCACGCACCAGAGCTTCTGAATACATTGTTATACAAGGTCAGAAGTCTGTTCCCACGATCGTAATCTGTTGCAGCTGCAGAGCTCCCCGATTTAGATTTAGTAACAGTTTCACAGGCTCCTCTAGGGGAAGAACTTCTATTTGATCTTTTCTTTTAAAAGTAGATCTAGCAACAAAGTTTCCTTTTTCAGATATTTTGTCAATATTTGTTCCTTTAAAATGTGAAGGAGAACGATGGAATCACTATGTTTCTCTTCTTTTAACTGTCTGTCAAAGACGTTTGTCTATGGTCAATGAACTTCCCAAAGAACGTCAGTCCTGACACCCCGCTCCCAGGTCCGAGACGGTGGAAAATTACTTTTCTTTACACTCTCTTCTGCAGGTTTAACCAGTCCGGAAAAAATCCCCCCTCTTCTCCTGCTTCCGAAGGGGTTCAACAATTTTAAATGATGAAAGTTAATCCTTTACAAACGATTTTCTGAACTCTAGTTTGCCATGTCTTTGCTTTAATCTATCTACAAGAAACGGAAGGCTGACTTCCTGTTTAGACCTTCCCGTTTCAGTGCCAAATTGAGAAGAATTTCTTAGTCCAATTTTCCTTTCTACTCGCAGGTCATTATTTAAAGTCCAATTGTTCGAAATTGAGCTACTCATGGGTAATTGTTTTAAAAGCCAAATTGTCCCAGGAAAAAGGCAGCGCTCTCCGGCAACGGCTATGCGGCTTCGCTCCACGGAAGAAGCAGTTGACTCTCAGCACCGCGCCACTTGCCCCTCTTCGCTCCGGAGCCCGTAACTGGGTTCCTTTACAAGTTGGGGGGGGCGCGAAAGGTGCCCGCCGAGTCCCATGGTCACAGGCTTCATCCGCCTGTGATTTTTCGAAGGGTCCCTGCTTCGCCATAGCGGGAAAGACCCGTTTTCCGTGGAGCCAGTCCCTCCGGATCAGAGGGAGTCCGCCATTACCGATGGCGCCACCCCGGAAGTCCAATTTTTCACCATTTGTCAGATTTGTGAGAATAAGACAACTACTTACAAAGAGCCGTGAAAACTTATAAGCTATCTAAAATAAACTGTATTGCCGGCACAGCTTGTAATTTAGAGCACCATCAAGGTGCATCCTAAAGTGAAGGCAAACTTAGAAGATCTTGCTTGGAACCACGTGGGGAGTGATCAGACGTAAGAGGGCTGAATGTTGTTGTTGTTAATCACTATTAGTAATTATTATTAATTATTACGATTAATTATTATTGTAAAATAGGATTCTAAGGAATTTTCAAGCATAAGAACTAGTTGTACGCACATTTAAATACAATAATGTGGCATTGCCTTTAAATTTCCGTGGCTGAAACATAGAATCATAGAATCATATGAAACGCTTTTCTTGTCATGATTTTCGTATGGTGGTTCTGCTCCTGTTTCAGTACGTATAACCAAGTTCACCTCGACATTAGGAAGAACGTTCTGATGGTGAGAGTTGCTTGGCAGTGCAGCAGAGTAACTCGGAAGCTGGTGGGGCTTTTGAACGGAGGTCGGATGGCCATCTGATAGGGATTTATTTAGCTGTGATTCCTGCATTGCTGGGGGTTGGTCTAGATGGCCCTTGGGGTCCCTTCCAACTCTGCATTTCCATGGTTCTATGATTATACATACAAAACACTTGGGGAAGAACAAGTGGTGTCGAAGGAAATTCTTACAACACTGTTTAAAATATAAAAATATAAGCATTCCAAAGTTCAATATGCAATAAAGCAATCCCATTAAACCAGCACAGTCATTAAAACAGGGGGCTCAGGTGTCACGCTTCGGGGAAATGGCTTCCTCCCCCATGGCAGTAAATAAGAAGATCAAATGAAAGGAACATCTTACCAGTTAGATTCACAGTGAGAGAGAAAAAGAACATGTCTCCCTAGAAATAGCAGTGCTCCCAATTAAGGCTCACTAACCCCCTCTCCGTCCCTATTAATCTACGTCACTCCTGCGTCTTGTAATCTGAGTTTGTACCCTCTGCGCTGTCTGTTCTCACACTTTCAGAGCTCTCTGTGTCTTTGGGGAAGGGGGGTTTGAATGCTGTCCAGAGACTGTGAATCTGTTAACACTCTCTCTCTTCCAGTGTTTCGTCTCCTAGCTGTTCCCTATCCAGTATTTCCCAGCTTCTGCCTTCTGAACTATGCCCCTCTGCAAACCACTGTTCCAAATCTATACTGTCCTCCCGCTCCTGGGAAGTTTCAGAATCAGGGGGAGGGGGTGGCTCCCAACACTCTTCCTCAGTACTCCCTGACATCAGGTTAAGAGACCAAGGGAACCCCTGTGCAAAAACAGCACATCTTCAGAAGCTGGCAGAATGCCAATACTGATGAAGCCTCTGGCATTTCAGCAGGAAGTGTATTCTACAACAGTGGTGCCAACAGTGGCAAAGCCAATCTCTGTGTCAACGCAAGCCGGTATTCACTAGGAGGTGGCAAAACTTTCCAAGTTCCATGTGGAATGGGCTTCGAACGGTTGTGTTTTCAAGTCACTGTTATGCCACAAACTGCATATGTGGATTGGGACCTATCCTAACCTCCTAGGAAAGTTTTCAGGAGAGAGAGAAAGGGGGAGGGGAGTTACAGAGCCCTTTGCACCCAAGAAGAATGCCAGCATAAGGAGAATCATGCTGGACCAGACCAAAGGCCTGGCTAGTTCAGCATCCTCTTTCCCCTGATGGCCAGTCGGATGCCCCCTGGGAAGCCCATGAGGAAGACATAAGCAAAATAGTCCTTTTCAACTTGTGACCCCCAGAAACTGGTAATACAGCTTCCGAACTTAGAGCTTGTATATAGCTTGTATATAGCAATAAAGGTCCGTATAGTTAAAGCTATAGTTTTCCCAGTAGTGATGTATGGAAGTAAGAGCTGGACCATCAAGAAGGTTGATCGCCGAAGAATTGATGCTTTTGAATTGTGGTGCTGGAGGAGACTCTTAAGAGTCCCATGGACTGCAAGAAGATCAAACCGATCCATTCTTAAGGAAATCAGCCCTGAGTGCTCACTGGAAGGACACATCGTGAAGCTAAGGCTGCAATACTTTGGCCACCTTATCAGAAGAGAAGACTCCCTGGAAAAGACCCTGATGTTGGGAAAGATGGAGGGCACAAGGAGAAGAGGATGACAGAGGATGAGATGGTTGGATAGTGTTCTCGAAGCTACCAGCATAAGTTTGACCAAACTGCGGGAGGCAGTGGAAGACAGGAGTGCCTGGCATGCTCTGGTCCATGGGGTCATGAAGAGTCAGACACGACTAAACAACTAAACAACAACAACTTAGCAATAAAGGCACTGGTAGCTATATCTCCCAGAAAGAGGGATGGCAGAAAAATTCACCTTGCTTGCTTTTAGAGAGTTTTATTAGACTATAGCATTCCTACCAACAAGGCGACTTTGAAAGCCTGATATAATTTAGCTCGTAGCCTGGACAAACTGATCCACATTTCAGCTTGTTCTGAGGGGGAGGCACCAGGTGTGTGCAAAGAAAGCCCATTGATTGGGGCGAGGAACCTTTGGCTCTGCAGATGTTGCCGAACCACAATTCCTGCCATCCCTGGTCATTAGCACTGTGTGCTTTGCCTGATAGGAGTTTGTAGTTCAGCAGCATCTGAAGGACTAAATGTTCCCCACTCCCTCCAAAGCGTAAAGACAGGTGCTGTACTCTTCACTTCGGTCACAGTGGGTTCCTCACCTGCTGCGCAAAACCATGATTTCACAACTTGCCCTGCGGGTGTGCTTGTCTTAAGAGTCAAAGGCTGAGTCAGCTCTGAGGCTCAGACCAGCTGTCCATTTTTCCAGCGTGTACATATCCTTATACGGCATGTGTGCATCTTAAAACACAGTTATGCTTTGTCTCATCAATGACTTACACTGTCTGGGAATTGGGAGTGGGTGTCATGCTAATGGTCACAGGTGCTAGCCAATAGGTGCCCACCTAAGCTGCTTTACATACCTGCACCCCCTGAAACACTCGCTTGGAATATTATATCTGACTCAGGTTGCATAGGTAAAGGTAAAGGGACCCCTGACCATTAGGTCCAGTCGTGGCCAACTCTGGGGTTGCGGTGCTCATCTCACTTTATTGGCCGAGGGCGCAGGCATACAGCTTCCGGGTCATGTGGCCAGCATGACTAAGTCGCTTCTGGCGAACCAGAGCAGCGCACGGAAACGCCATTTACCTTCCCGCCGAAGCGGTACCTATTTATATACTTGCATTTTGACGTGCTTTCAAACTGGGACCGAGCAATGGGAGCTCACCCCGTCGCAGGGATTCGAACCGCCGACCTTCTGATCAGCAAGTCCTAGGCTCTGTGGTTTAACCGTGTTCCTGAAACACTCACTTGGAATATTATATCTGACTCAGGTTGCATAGGGGCCTCCAAACATTATTCCAGAATAAGTGAGATACATAAGGGGAGATCTGGCCATTTTTTAAAAAATTTTTTTTAAAAGGTTCAAAATAGCCATGGGTTGATGGTAGGGGACAACACTGAAGGAATCAAGCTGGAGAAAGGATCTATATATTTTCAGCAATAAGGCTGATAAGCAATTGTTTGGGAGGAGAAGTTTATTTAGATGGGGCAAATGCCTTGAGCAGAAAGGTTGGACACCACTCTCTAGTAGCAATAATTTATAATAATTTAGCACCACTCCCCCTGCCCTCACACAGAGAGATTATTTGAACGAAAGATGTGGGAATTCAATCGCTTGTCTAGCTTAGCCCTAAAGACTAAGAATTGTAGCATGCCACTGCTTTATACTCTAAAGGTATTTATTTTCTCAAAGTATTTATACCACGGGTAGGCAACCTAAGGCCCAGTGGCCGGATGAGGCCCAATTGCCTTCTAAATCTGGCCAGCGGATGGTCCGGGAATCAGCGTGTTTTTACATGAGTAGAATGTGTCCTTTTATTTAAAATGCATCTCTGGGTTATTTCTGGGGCATAGGAATTCATTCATCTTCCCCCCCCCAAAAAAAAATATAGTATGGCCCATCACATGGTCTGAGGGACGGTGGACTGGCCCAAGGCTGAAAAAGGTTGCCGACCCCTGATTTATACCCTTCTTTTTGGCCAGAAAGCTCCAGGGGCAGCTTGGAAAATAACAAGCAAACAAACAAACAAACAAACAAACACCACGTCCCACTCTTTGGTTTTCAGTCCTTAAAAGGCTCGGCACGAAAGGAAAAAGGGATGGGGAGGAAAGAGGAAAACAAGCAAACGGAGGCACCACCACATTCTTAATGCTACAAGAAAGGTAGCCTGTGATTATAGGCCCTCCCTAATTCAGAAGAACACAGAACTTGGCGTGCTTGAAAATATACAGAGGTGTGCAATACATTACCTAAAAGAAGACAACTCTAAAGTAAGGTGCAACCTCATTGCTACTCCAGAAAAGCAATGGAAGCCTTTGCATATTTTCCCCGTTGAGTTTTACGGAAGAGCAAGCTTGTCTCATAGGAAATGCAACAGGTAATTCTACCTCCTACACAGTTATTTGATTCGGGGGGGTGGGGTGGGGAGAACAAAATTTCTATTACAGGAATAATATACCAGGGAGCTACTGGTGTGGAGAAACAAGCAACACGAGGAAAATAAAAGCACTGATTTTCTTTTCTTTTCTTTCAAGGTAAAATAAAACCCACCCTCAAAATGGCACATTAACAGCTGAGGCAGATGCGGTGAGAAGAAGGTGGGTAATCCCTTGGCAGAAATCACAATAGTCAATTCCTCCGAGAGACATTCCCCATGTCTGTCAGCACGCCTGAGTGTCATTTTATATAACAGCTAATGAAAGGGGATGTTCTCCTGTCTGTTAAGTTTCTATACCAGGTGCAAACGGAGATGAAAATTACTTGCTATTACGGAGTTACCTCCTCGAGTAGGCGATCAAAAGTTATGTTGGAAACATTTGTCTGATTAAGGCCCCACGCGGCCGCAACATAAATTTCAAGTGCTATGATGCCACTTCTGCAACTGTGGCATGCTGCAAAGGATTCTGGGAGCTGTAGGGTTGGAGACACTCTGACTCCCCTCGCAGAGCTACGATTCTCACCGTATCAAGCCGTTTCCGGGAACTCTGGGATATGAAGCTCTGTGAGGGGGATACATATAAGGAACGTGGGTGGCGCTGTGGTCTAAACCACTGAGCCTCTTGGGCTTCCTGATCAGGTTCGAATCCCCGCAACGGGGTGAGCTCCTGTCGCTCCTGTCGCTCTGTCCCAGCTCCTGCCAACCTAGCAGTTTGAAAGCACGCCAGTGCAAGTAGATAAATAGGTACCGCTGCGGTGGGAAAGTAAACAGCGTTTCCATGCGCTCTGGTTTCCATCACGGTGTCCCGTTGCACTAGAAGCGATTTAGTCTTGCTGGTCACATGACCCGGAAAACTGTCTGTGGACAAATGCCAGCTCCCTCGGCCTGAAAGCGAGATGAGCGCCACAATCCCATAATTGCCTTTGACTGGACTTAACCGTCCAGGTGTCCTTTACCTTTTACCTTACATATAAATGAAGCAAAGAGAGCAGGTACATGGCACTCAGCCACACCTATTGCTGATGGACACCTTCCTTATTTCCCAGAAAGCATCAGAGCAAGGGCAGGAAGAATAGGCCTCACATGGAATTGGCTTCACGGCTGTGCCACATCACATGACGCCACCATGAATCATTGTGAGGGCAATGGTGTGGTGTCCCACTTACCCACCAACCCTTCTTCATTATTCCTGCCAGCAACCAAAAGTGCAGTCAGTCTTGTTGCCTGGGCCACAAGAAGGCACAGATTTGCATGTGCTAATTCATATTTGCCTATTTCTTATACGTGTTTTATATTATTTTATGTCAAGCACTTGAGGTTTTTGTCGATGAAGCCATGTATAAATATTGCTAAGGAGGGATGTGAATTTAGATGCAATTGCGTTATTGGTCAGAAGGCCACTTGGCAGGGAAGCTGACCTGTCACATCTGCCTGAGGGCATGTCAGTGCCGCCAAAGGCTCTTTATCCCATCTGCCCAGTGAGACTTACAAGACTTGCGGAATCTCCTGATCACAGAAGAGCACAGATTAAAGTTTAGTGCAAAATAGAGAGGGGGAATAAAGATATTTGAAGACATTTTAATTGTTGCCTTTTTTTAGTGTGTGCATTTAGTGGAATGAGAGAGAGAGAGAGAGAGAGAGAGAGAGAGAGGGAGAGAGAGAGAGAGAGAGAAGTAATAACTCAGAAATATAAATCAAAAAACAGTACAACAGCACAGGGAGGGAGGGAGACTGAGAGAGGCCCAAGCAAAAGAGGCAGAGCAGGCTCACTTAATTTTAAAAGTGTGCATTTGTATTGTAAAATATGGCACAAAAAGAATTATGATGCAGTCAACACTTATTGCATACATGTGCATTTGAAAGACACACATACCCAGAGGGAATGTTCTTTCATATGTGGTGGACCTGTGAAAGGGTAAAAGAGTATTGGGAAATGGTCCATAATGAATTGAAAAAAATGTTTAAAAGTACTTTCCCCCAAAACCCCAGAGTCCTTTCTGTTGGGGATAATTCAGACTGAAATTCCCAGGTGTCAAAAAATGTTATTTATGTATGCTACTACTGCGGCCCGTGTCTTGTTAGCCCAAAAATGGAAAACGAGCAAGGTCCCAAACAAAGAAGAATGGCAACTTAAGTTGACATAATATGCGCAGCTTGCAGCCTTAACATATAGAATGAGAGAACAAGAAGAACATACGTTTAAAGAAGATTGGGAAATGTTTATTGAATATATGGGAAATAATCGTGTATAGCTAAAAATGCTGGCAGCATTAAGATAAATTCAACAGTGTAAATAAGTTTTGATGGATGTAATAATGGAATACTGAATGGTATAGTTTTTGTAAAATATGCAGGGATTTATGGTATGTAAAATGAACCATGGAAAGAGAAGGGAAGTCACTGATACCTTAAGGATGTAAAATGAGTATTTTAAATTTTAAAACAGTGTGTGTGTGTGTGTGTGTGTGTGTGTGTGTGACACACATACTCCTCAAAGAATCCTGAGAACATGGGCCAGTCAGAACCTACCCCACAGGGTCATTGTGGGGATTAAATGAGTAGGGGGAGAACCACATACACTACCTTCAGCTCCTTGGGGGAGAAGGTGGGATATAAATGCAATATACAAATAAACAATAAACACAAAGCTATCTTCTGCTGAGTCAGACCACTGGTTTATGTAGCTCAATGTTCTCCACACTGATTGGTAGAAGTGGCTCTTCAGGGTATCAGCCGGGGGTCTTTCCCTGTCCCACCTGGGGATGCCAGAGATTTTAATCTGCCTGCCAAGCAGGCGCTCCACCCCTGAGCCTCAGCCCTATTAGCAGTGACCTTTCAGAAATGGTGCCCCAGCTGAACATTGCTCCCAAAGCCACTCTCCGTGGCTTTTGACGAGAATTCCTGTTCCGACAGAGTCCCTTTCCAAGAATATTTTCTCGAGACCTGAATATGCATTTATTGTGGTCGAAGTCACCAAACCGTAAGAAGGGTGGGGAGGGCGGCAGCCGGAGAGCGCCGGTTCCTCTTGTTGCTTTGCAGGGGATTAAGAGGGGATTAGAGAGCGTCGCAATGAGGCTACATCGCGCCATCCCTATTTTTCTCGGGCACATTGAGTCGTGCTCTGCTGAATCCATTCTTTCACATCGTTGTTTCTGTTATTGAAAATTTAAGCCCTTTCCCCCCTCCCTCTCATTTCATAATAATCTTCTTCAGGTACTCCCAGATCCTCATATGTCTTACAAGTGTGTGTGTGTGTGTGTGTGTGTGTGTGTGAGAGAGAGAGAGAGAGAGAGAGAGAGAGAGAGAGACTGCCACAAGAGGTGAGGTGGGGGGACCTGTGACTCTCTAGATTTTGTTGGCCTACATCAGGAGTTGAGAACCGAGGGCAGAATCTGGTCCTCAAAGTCTCTTTCTCTGGCCTGGGGACTCTTCCCAGCCCTCACTCCTTCCCCGGGCACACCCCGTCTTCCAAAGGCACCCACTTTTGTCTCTGTCCACTCCCATCACTGACATGTGTCTGGAAGGTTGTCCTTGGAGAAATGTGGCTCTCAGGCTGGAAAATATTTTTCATCTCTGGTCTCCATCATCCCTCACCTTTGGCCTTGGCTGATAGTCCAGCAACGTCTGGAGAGCCCCAGGTCTGCCATCTCAACAGAACCCAGTTGGATGTGGGAAGCTATGGGGTTGCAGATAGCCAGTGGCCAGCCTGAATGGGTAGTCACTCCAGGTCTCTGTTGTAGTCCTGACAGCTCCTGACAGAGTCCATCCAGTGCCACAGCAGGAGCAGTTGGGGGTCTTACCTGTGAGAGATTAGCACCCAAGCATAATTCCTTATTCTTGCTAGTTAGCACAAGGAGGGGTTAATACCACAGAGCTGCATTGCTGATGGGCAGATACTCAGGCCACAGAAATACAGCTGCTAGAGATGGCTCTGCATGATGTCATTTCCCCTCCTCTCTGGTTAGCAAGGAGAGAGATTAGCCACAAGCCCACTTTTCCAACTTTAAAGTTAAGATCAAAGGCAGCTCACCACCATGGCTGGGTTATAACAATACAATTGCACGAGAGTTCATGCCTGCAAGAGGGGTCAGAATCTGAGTTCTCACTTTAAAAAGCAACTATGTAGCCTTCTGAGAAGGAAAGTTATGAAGCAAAATGTTCAGGCACTCCCTTAAGTGATTTCTGTGACATGAGTCAGCCCAGCTACTCCTGCCTTTCAGTGTTTTTAGCTTATTAGTGACATCAGAGCTACAATTGATGAGTGAGGGATTTTTCCCCAGCACCAAACTATAAGATTCCCTGGAGTCCTAAAAAGCTGTTTTCCCCTTTTGAGATCCCACAAAACTTATTTTGTGGTACCTTATTTCATGTGTATTTTTTGAGGGGGGGGAGAACCCTGTTTTGGGAACTGCACCCAAGCGCCAAACTGCCTTATCCATACTTTCTCACATTCATAACTAAGCATTAACAGCTTAAAAATGATACTGCCATCAATACAATCATATTTTCAAAAGCCACACACAACCACAAAAAATGGCATATCTGTAAGCAAAAGCAATGTGGGAACGTTTAGCGATGGACAGATGGTATTCCAGAATGTGAAATATTCTGATGGCAGACATATCAGCTAAAACATACGAAGGGTCTCAATGGGGACATGGGCTTCTACGATATATGGTGGTGTTTCTCTGCTTATATTTAACAAGCCTCAGTCTCAACAGCAATCCTCTAAATTTGGAACAGAGCATAGAATATTTGACAGGAACTACACATGTGCTGTGGGTTAAACCACAGAGCCTAGGACTTGCCGATCGGAAGGTCGGCGGTTCGAATCCCCGCGACAGGGTGAGCTCCCGTTGCTCGGTCCCTGCTCCTGCCAACCTAGCAGTTCAAAAGCACAAAAGTGCAAGTAGATAAATAGGTACCGCTCCGGCGGGAAGGTAAACGGCGTTTCCATGCGCTGCTCTGGTTCACCAGAAGCGGCTTAGTCATGCTGGCCACATGACCCGGAAGCTGTACGCCGGCTCCCTCGGCCAATAAAGCGAGATGAGTGCCGCAACCCCAGAGTCATCCGCGACTGGACCTAACAGTCAGGGGTCCCTTTACCTTTACCTTTATACACCATTACTAAGGAACACCGGGGGCTGGTGGGAACTGGAATCCAACAATTTCTGGAGAGCATCATATTGGCTCCCCCTGCCTGTGTACATGGTATCTCCCTGTGTTCCTATGATAAGACTGTACGAGCCTGATGGGTCAGGCTAAAGGCCAAATTGGACAACCATCCTGCTGTCACAGTGGCCACCCAGGTCCCTGTGGGAAGCAGGACCTGAGCACAGGAGGCCTCTCCCCTCCTGCGGTTCCCCACAACTAGTATTCAGAAGCAACACTGCCTCCAACTGTAGAGGCCGAGCACAGCCATCATGGCAAATAATAATAATAATAAATAATAATAATAATAATTTATACCCCACCCATCTGGCTGGGTTTCTCCACCCACTCTGGGCAGCCTCCAATGGAGTATTAAAATACAATAACCTATTAAACATTAAAAGCTTCCCTAAACAGGGCTACCTTAAGATGTCTTCTGAATGTCAGGTAGTTGTTTATCGCTTTGACATCTGATGGGAGGGCGTTCCAGAGGGCAGGTGCCACTACCGAGAAGGCCCTCTGCCTGGTCCCCTGTAACTTGGCTTCTCACAGCGAGGGAACCGCCAGAAGGCCCTCGGCACTGGACCTCAGTGTCTGGGTAGAACGATGGGGGTGGAGAAGCTCCTTCAGGTATACTGGGCCGAGGCTGTTTAGGGCTTTAAAGGTCAGCGCCAATACTTTGAATTGTGCTTGGAAATGTACTGGGAGCCAGTGTAGGTCTTTCAGGACCGGTGTTATGTGGTCTTGGCGGCCGCTCCCAGTCACCAGTCTAGCTGCCGCAGAGAGACATATTCTCCACGAATTTGTCTTTTAAATCCATCCAAGTTGGTGGCCATCGCTGCCACCTGTGAGGGTGAGTTCCATAGTTTACTTATTTTGTTTATTTTTTATTTTATGCATTTATTACATTTATATATCTCCTTTACCT